ATATTCTGGGGGATGTACACATACTCTGAAATTGACCACATCCTAGGATACAAATCAAATCTCAGCAAAATGAAAAGAATAGAAATTATGCCTTGCATCTTCTCAGACAACAAGGCAAAAAAGGTAGAACTCAACTCCAACAAAAACATTCAGACCCACACAAAGTTTATGCTGAAAGACAGTTGGGTTTGGGAAGAAATAAAAGAGGAAATCGTGGATGGGAGTGGTGGCTTATACCTGTAATCCTAGCAATCTGAAAGGCTGAGGCAGGTGCATAGCTTGAGCTCATGAGTTCAAGACCAGCCTGCTGAGTAAAAGCAAGAATCTGTCTCTACTAAAAATAGGAAAAAAAACTGAGGCAAGAGGATTGTTTTACCTCAACAGTTGCAAGTTGCTATGACACCATGGCATTCTATTGAGGGCGATACCTTGAGACTCTATCTCAAAAAAAAAAAAAAAAAGGAAATCATTAAATTCCTCAAACATAACAACAATGAAAACACAAGTATCCCCTGTGGGATATAGCAAAAGGATCTTAAGAGTGAATTTTATTGTATTAGATGCTTACATTCATAAAACAGAAAGACAGCGTATCAACAAACTCATGAATCATCTTATGGAATTGGAAAAAGAAGAACAATCTAATCCCAAACCCAGCAGAAGAAAAGAAATAACCAAAATTAAATCAAAGATTAATAAAATTGAAACAAAAGAATCATTCAGAAAATTAACAAAACAAAAAGTTGTGTTTTTTTTTTTAAATAAATTAAATCAATAAACCTTTGGCCAAATTAACCACAAACAGAAAAGTTAACTCTATAATCACCTCACTCAGAAACAATAAAGGGGAAATAACAGATATCACAGAGATACAAGAGATCATCTTTGAGTACAAGAAGAAACTCTATGCCCAGAAATTTGACAATGTGGAGGAAATGGATCAATACCTGGAATAATACCCTCTCTCTAGACTTACTCAAGAAGAAAGAGATCTCTAGAACAGACTGATTTCAAGAACTCAGACCGAAAAAACAGTAAAAAAATCCCCCAACCAAAAAAGGCCATGGTCCAGATGGCTTCACACCAGAACTCTACCAAACTGTCAAAGAAGAGCTTATACCCATACTGCAGAAATTATTCCAAAAAATTGAGAAGGAAGGAATCTTCCCAAACACATTCTGTGAAGCAAACATCACCCTGATACCAAAACCAGGAAAAGAGCCAACTAAAAAGAAGAACTTCAGACCAATTTCACTAATGAATATAGATGCAAAAATTCTCAATAAAATCCCCGTTAAAATATTACAGCTACACATTAAAAAAAATCATTCATCATGATCAAGTAGGTTTCATCCCAAGGATGCAAGGCTGGTTTAACATATGCAAGTCCATATAAAACCCAATTCATAATTGCTAGGTCATGGAAGAAGCCCAAGTGCCCATCGACGCACGAATGGATCAATAAACTGTGGTATATGTACACCATGCAATACTATGCAGCCCTAAAGAAGGATGGAGACTTTACCTCCTTCATGTTTACAAGGATAGAGTTGGAAAATATTCTTCTTAGCAAAGTATCTCAAGAATGGAAGAAAAAGTATCCAATGTATTCACCTCTACTATGAAACTAATTTATAGCTTTCATAGGAAAGCTATAACCCAATTATAGCCCAAGAATATGGGGAAAGGGGA